CTGGTGCTTGAACTCACAATCCCCATCCTGAGGTCTCATGAAGATAATATCATATATTCCATCGCATCCTTCCCTCAACCAAGCGTCTTAGTCTTCTCCTTCTTCTCCTTCTGCCTCTCCATAACATTCAACACATCATCCGCATTATTCTTATCCCCCTTCCTCTTCTTGCCACCCCGCTTCCTCACCTTCTTCGGCCCTTTACCCCCTTCCTCGCCATCATCATCATCGCCTTCAGCACCCAGTCCCTTCCACTGACTGAACTTGACTTCCTCGCCTTCCCGCTCCATCTCCTCCGCGTCATCGAATCGCGATGCTCCGAAACCCATGTCCATGTCTTCCATATCGCGATCTGAAGCCGCCAATTCCGCAGCACGTTTCTTGAGACGCGCTTCTTTCGATGCGGGGTCGTTGGGGTCGGTGGAACCGAGGTTTTGGAGGAGTGTGGAGTTTTCGTCCAGGTTCCGGACTTTGGCGAGGGCGGCGCGGACGGTGGCGTCGGCGGCGGAGAGGTCTGAGGGTTCTGCTGTGGAGGTCGAGCGGGCTGTGGTTGCGAAGTAGTCTCGTTTTGCGGGTGCTGCGGGCGCGGTGTCTGTGGGTTTTGCGGGCGCGTCTTCTTCTGCTTCGGGAGAGGATACCTCCCCTTCTGATTGTGAATCCGCGGCATCGAGCTTAGGTGCAGTAGGCTCTGGCTTCGCTGTCTCTTCATCCGATTCGTCGTCTGAGTCGTCGAAGTTCGCGAGCGGGTTGTAGTTCGACCCGACTCCTGCGAATATGTCCTCGTCTTCTGACTCTTCCTTCTTCGGCTCAGGGAGGTTATGCATATTGATCGGCTTGTTCACATCGTCCAGATCGTGACGCACTTCGGGCGTTGGCTCCTCGACCTTCTGCTTCTTGACCTTTCTCTTCTCCTTGCCATCTGGACCGGTGATGATCAGCACCTCACGACCCTTCTCATCTGTCTCGATGCGTGTGCCCCCCTGAGCGTTGATCTTGCGGAAACCCGGTCCCAGGGTTGGAAACCTCTTCTCGTGCTCGGCCGCCGCGGCGGCTGCTGCCTCTTCCCGTTGCCTCTTGAGGTCTTTCAGGATGTCGTTGCGACTTCTCTTGACGCCAGCGACAGGACGCGGCCCAGTCATCTTCTCGCCCTTCTTCTCAGTCTTCTCGCGTGTAATGGGGCCGACATCCGCCTCTGCCAGCTCATCGAACGCGTCTTCCACCTCTGGCACCTCTTCAGCCTCCTCCTCCTCTTTTTCTTCTTCTTCTTCTTTCTTGTCTAGGCCACCCAGAACATCCTCGCCCCGCCTCACTCTCTCGAGCAGCTTCCTGTCCAGGCCCTTTACTAAATGCGTGGTCCCGACATCACCACCCGTAATCTCTTGCACGAGCTTCTCGAACGTCTCGCGATCGATCTCGCCCTTCTTCATAGACTCCTCGAGGTTCTTGACGCGTTTGGCGATCTCATTGTCTTCCTCGTCGGTGTAAGCCTTCGTGCGGTCGGTGTAGCCTGCGGCGAGCCTCGTTCCTTTGGGCACTACGTTCCTGGCCTTCTTCTGCGGGTTGTTCTTCGCGTTGCGCTCGGCGATTTGGCGCGCAAAATCCGATTGTATTGAGCCCTTACCTACCTGGCGACTGCGTATCTGTTAGCATCAGTCCTGCGCGTGAAACTATGAGAAAGACTTACGGTGTCATTGGTATGCTCGAGTGCTTGCGCGCGCCCAACACCGCCCTCGGCGTAGCCGCGGCAGGTGACTTGCCCTTGCCGTCATCCTGGGGTTTTGGTGTTTCGACTAGCAGCCGCCTGAATTGCGAGTTGTTCATGATGCGCGAGTTGAGAGGTTGGTGGAGAGTCGCGATTCGCAAAAGATGTGCCAAGCCTCTGCTGGCGTCTTCGGGTCGCGCCTGCACCACGCGAGGCTACGCTAAAGAAGCGTGGCTGGTCTAACGCGGGGAACCTTGAGCGCTCAACACAACTCCAGCCTCGTCTACTACCGGATTGTATTGCGTCAGCACGATCACGATCGTAAATATATGGACTTCTCGAGGCACGGACAATGCCTTAATTTGCGTAGTCTTCGGTACCCTGCCGCTTCGGCTCTAGTTGGCTGTCTGTAAGGTTGCAGCGCCATCTTGCTTATGCAGGATCACAAGACTACTGTAGGGAAATGCTACCTGTTTCCCTGTACGAGAGTTACGCTATGCCGCCACAGTAAAACGATCGTGCATAGCCCGAAAGGTTCTGTATCTTCCCCATTTCACTTGCTAGGCTCCCTGCGATCCCCACCACCCCGCTTCCTCTCCGCATAAGTACTTGAACAGCCGGGTAAATTGTTGAACTACCTCCCACGCCTCCCCTTCCCCGATATTTGTGAGATTGTAACGGCAGTATGTTCAAGCTTCTGATTGCAGCGGCTCTCGCTGCAGTGGGCGCGTCCCAGTACGCCATGCCGCCTAACACGACCAATTCGACTACATTCATGAACCCGATCGTGGGCGCTGGAGCAGACCCGTAAGTTAATCCTCCAAGTTATGTTACCATCCGTCTGAACATTATCTAGCTGGATGTTCCGCCATGAGGACTACTACTACATGACCTACACCAACAACGTCAACATCACCCTCTGGCGCAGCAAATCCCTGACCTCCTGGGACGCCGCAGAGTCCAAGACCATCTTCGTCCCTGAGCCCGACCAAGCCTACTCCACCGACCTCTGGGCGCCCGAAATCCACCAAATCGACGGAAGCTGGTGGGTAATCTTCACCGCAGACCCCAACTTCGACTCCCCACCCCCCGAGGTGGAGATGTGGTGCGAGTACAACTGCCCCGCCGTCAACCACCGCATGTTCACCGTCGTCGGCGAAGGCGAAGACCCCTGGACCGCCGAGTACCGCTACCATAGCGAACTCGAGACGTACGATCAATTCGCCATCGATGGAACCTATTTCCAGCACGCCGACCAACTGTACCACATCTACTCCTGCTGGTACCACAAGTACGACGGCTGGCCAGCCAACCTCTGCATCACCAAGATGTCCGACCCTTCCACCACCGTCTCCCCCTTCTCCGAGCGCCAAATCATCTCCGTTCCAGAATACGCCTGGGAAAAAACACCCTTCGGCCGCTCCATCAACGACCGCCTCTCCTCCAACGAAGGCCCCCAACAACTCACCAACCCCACCACCGGCCAAAACTTCCTCATCTACAGCGCCGCCCGCTCAGACAACCGCAACTACTGTCTCGGTCAGCTCGAGCTCGTTGGCGACGACCCCATGAACCCTAGCGACTGGCGCAAGCATCCTTACCCCGTTTTTTACCAGAACCCTAGCGAGAAGGCGTACGGTGTTGGCCATGCGTCTTTTACAACGTCGCCTGATGGCTCCGAGGATTGGATCGTTTACCATGGTATGCAGGATCCGACGAATGGGTGGAGTGCGAGGTCGATTCGCGCGCAGAAGTTTGGCTGGAAGGAGGATGGGAGCCCGGACTTTCCTAAGCCGGGGTATGGGCCGTATCAGGTTCCTAGTGGGCAGTAGAGAGGTGATTGATGTTGTGTCTGGGTTTGCGGGATGATGGCGGGGATGTGAAGCTTCTCTTGCTCTGCGGTTGGTTTGCTTGTATCTTCTGGACGGCGGCGACCGGCTGTGTTGGAAGGGCTATGACGAGAGCCTCTTCTGCCCTGTCTCTTGCATACAGACCTTGGATAATATCTCGGTATCTGAACCACTCCAGATATATTGCTAGCTTAATGATAACGATCATGATGAACTTGCCCGACCATCGTTGAGACCCTATCTTTTGTGCGATACCCTCCGTCGCGGAGGTGATGATGATAATAGATGTTAATTTTCGTACCGATTCTAGCGATTCCTCTGTCCTCTATGTGACTTGATGGCATACTTTAGACATGCGTGCCTTCCAAGTTTGCATAAACGTTCGGCGAGCGCGGCTTCCACCAAGCATGCTCACCACCCGGAAGTATTGCGCAACCCACCACATCGCTCGGAAAGATGCGAAAACTACATCGCTTGAACTTTCTGGGTCTTTGAAATATATTATGACGCTCCGAATCGATTTCATGACATCCGAACTTGGGTTGTGATGCTTATGTTCCAAATTATCTGGAATATCTTGGTTTGTGTTTTTGGCATTTAGGACTCAACACGTAACATGTTCAAAAATTTACAACACAACCATATCTTGCTCAAATCGCCTTAAACTTAGCAGATCAACTGATAGGACACATAAGAGCACATCACTCGATTTTGAGATTATTTAAGCATCATCGTGGAAGTCTACGCGTTGGAGGTCTGCTGAAGCGTCTTTCCGGGGCAGTCAAACTACGCGTATATTCACAACCACACGACGCGCTTTGGACGCACAGCGCGATACGGAAGCAAGTATACAGTCACACGCATATCAAAAAATACAAAATACTACACATCGTTCACATATCTACCGTCGCGTTGTACGACCGTTGGATGCAGAAAGACGTGACGTCATACGTCCAACAGCCAAACTTCACAGCTACCTAGGTATCTTCACGCGGGTGGCAATAAGCGCAAGCTATGAGTCATGCTACAACCGGTCAGACGGCACAGTCAATGAGTCACGGAACGTCCTTTCCATTGTTAACGCGAACGAGATGAAAGTCGGTCTGGCAAACTGTACATGACGCTAAATCACATACACACTAGCAGAACAAAAGGCGGAACAGCACACCGTAGAAGTGGAGCATAACAGCAATGACCACCGCGTTCACACCAAGTTCTCAGACGCGTCGCACATCACAGCAGAAGACATATTGATGAAGTTATTATGGTATCATTCCATGCAAATCAGAACCCGACTGATATAACCGTGAACTCCGAGCCTTCTTATACTATACAAGGCCATGACCATCCCACCAAGCACCGAAGAGGCGACCGTAGACTGCTGAAGAAGCCAGCCGGACAAAAGTCGTAACATTGAAAACCGTAAGAGCGAGAAGAAGACGACGCGCTTAACCACCGAAACCGTACAGAGTGCGGCCTTGACGCTTAAGAGCGTAGACAACGTCGAGGGAGGTGACGGTCTTGCGCTTGGCGTGCTCGGTGTATGTGACGGCGTCACGGATGACACCCTCGAGGAAGGTCTTGAGAACACCGCGGGTCTCCTCGTAGATCACTGGAGTGGGTTAGCGAAGTAGGCGAGGAAGGTGCAGAGGAGACATACTGGCTGAGATACGCTTGACACCGCCACGACGTGCGAGACGACGGATAGCGGGCTTGGTGATACCCTGGATGTTGTCGCGGAGAATCTTGCGGTGGCGCTTGGCACCACCCTTTCCGAGACCCTTGCCACCTTTGCCGCCTGGGAGACGCGTTAGTAAAGTGTTAATGGTGAAGGACGACGCGTTGAGCGCGCCGAAGTGTGGAGGAGGTGGGAATACTCACGACCAGTCATGATGATAGATGTGGGGGGTTGTTGTGTTGGGTAGAAGTGTTATTGGTTTGTAGAGTGAGAGAGTAGTAGTAGTAGTGGATTGGATGCTTTGGTGATGATGGGAATTAGTTGGGGCGGCGGGCGTCGTGTTTATGAGGCAGCGGGGCGCGTCGTCTTGCGCGCCGGATCACACGCCAGCCACGCCAGATCAAAGCCGCGCACGGGCGCGCTTTCCAGATCAACGCCCGTGCCCCTTCCCAATCGGGGCGCGCAGCAAGCGAGCCAATGGGGAATGCGCGCCGCAGTGTGGACTTGGTGGTTTTGAAGTTGCAGCGCGCGCAGGTTAGCATGCTTAGCATGGCTTTGGTGTTCCTGGTGCGCGCTGTGAGGGAGCGCAACAAAGATTGATTTTCCAGGCAGCCGCCCGCCCCCCATTTACCATATAAGCTGCGCCCGCCCACCCTCCTCCATCTCTCATCCACTCAACTCCACTCACCATCACAACAACCATCTCCACCATCCAACACAACTACATTTCCATCCTCAACAACCAACAACAAGATGGCCCGCACCAAGCAGACCGCACGAAAGTCGACCGGTGGAAAGGCACCCCGCAAGCAGTAAGTTTTAGCTCCAACCTCACCTTCGCATCGCATCGCAGCATACTAACAATTATTCAAGGCTCGCCTCTAAGGCAGCTCGCAAGAGTGCACCATCGACTGGTGGTGTCAAGAAGCCTCACCGCTACAAGCCCGGAACCGTCGCTCTCCGTGAGATCCGTCGCTACCAGAAGTCGACCGAGCTCCTCATCCGCAAGCTGCCCTTCCAGCGTCTTGTTCGTGAGATCGCTCAGGACTTCAAGTCCGATCTCCGCTTCCAGTCCTCCGCCATCGGTGCTCTTCAGGAGTCCGTCGAGGCTTACCTTGTCTCACTCTTCGAGGACACCAACCTCTGCGCCATCCACGCCAAGCGTGTCACCATCCAGAGCAAGGACATCCAGCTCGCCCGCCGCCTCCGTGGTGAGCGCGGTTAAGCTTCTCACCTTCGATATATCGACACGACTATGACAACTTCTTCGGGTCGGTGATGGATTGGGTCTTTGGGTCGGATATTTAGGCGTTTGGGTTCATGGTTCACGGTCTTCAACTCGGTTTATGAGTGCACACGAGCGGTGCTGAGCATGTAGTATATCCAGGTTAATCAGTGATGGTCACTGGCGATATTCCACGAAATCAACAGATTTCTACTTCATTCTATCTCTATATATGATTGTGATGTTTGCCTTTACTTTCAGTGTATCGCCAAATCTTCTTTGCTCCGCTCTTTGGTGTTCATGCCACTGCGCTACATCGACTGGTCGCGAATAGTCGTGATGCGGCACTCACCCCGCAACATGACGCCCATCGCAGCTACTAACTCGACCAACACGACGCAGCACCTCGGCGAACGGTACACTAACAACTGAGACTACTACGATGTCTTCCCGTAAAGGCCGCGCGATTGCGCATCTTCATCCAGCACATGCCTCTTCACGATGACCTGGCAAACCGAATTCTGGTCATGGGTGTCGCCACCCACAGTGCAGACCGCTGAAGTCCCAGCCGTCGGCCAAAAGGCGCCCTCCACGTCCAAACTCACCATACCAGCACAAGATGGCAAGCCAACGATCATCACCTTCCTCCGACACTGCGGATGTCCTTGTACGTACACTATTCAAAAACCATGACGATGCAATCTCACCAACACCACCACAGTCGCAGAAAAAACCTTCCTAAACATGCGCGCCCTCGCGCCCGCTCACCCAGACATCCATTGCATAGCCGTTTCGCACAGCGACCGAGCGGCTACGGACCGCTGGCTTGCATCGTTGCCTGAACCGGAGAAGAACACGCAACCTAACCTCAGCATCGTTGTTGATGCAGAACGCGAAGCGTATGCCGCGTGGGGCTTAGGCACGTCCAGTCTGTGGCATGTGCTAGGTAGTATACCTGGTACGAGCAAGTTAAGCAAAGAGGGCATTAGTGTGAGGCCGACTGAGAGTGGGAGTCGGTGGCAGACGGCGGGCAATTTTGGGGTTGATGCGCAGGGGGTTGTGAGATGGAGTAGGGTTGATGGGAGGGCGGATGATATGCCTGATTTTAAGGAGGGGGTGGATAAGGTGATGGGTGGGAAGTTTGAGACGGGGGGTTTTGCTGAGGCTATGCAGGGTTGATTGGTGTTGTTGTTCTCATGATGTGGTTGTGTAGATTGTATGTGATGCTTGTAGTTGGTATCACGGTTGTGCGGTTGTCGCGTTTTGCGTTGTGAAGACGCGGGTTAAGTGTCGCATGTGAGGTGCGAGATGACTGTGAATCACAACGCGTTCTCGTATCCTCCTCGCGACCATGTGAAGAGTGCACGCTCTATAGTCGTGACAAGACACATGTCTCCTTCTCGTAACACAAATTTTCAAATTTCCTGACTATGGTGATCAAAGACAACCCCTCGATTGGCCCGCCCACCAATGACCTCACGATAACACGCGAAAACGCGCCAACCCTCGAAGCGCGTCAAAGTGTCGCCACGCACACAACAGACCCGCCGCGGCCGGATCATGGCATCATGGCTGCACCGTCCACACGGCTGACGACTCGCGCGAGCGAGTATGGCTCAGATATCGACATCCAGTCCATCGCGACGCTGAGCGACTACGGCTCGGACATTGACATTGACGACGACACCATACTCGCCGACGCCTTTGACACGATAACAGACGCTGCGCAAACCCAGAAGAGTGCAGTCCTCCCCAGCATAGAATTCGAAGAGGGCGAACTCGAAGACGAAGAGCAGGATGTGGACGGCTTCGTGCAGATCCATAGACCCACGGTCCTGCGCGTTGCAAAGGGCAAGGCCAGTGTCGACGCGGATGCACAGAGGGATATACAGAGCTCGCCCATGCGAGAGCGCAAGGCGCTGGAAGTCGAGTACGACGAACGATCGCGACGGGCGTGGAGTGGTGCGTTGATCCAGACTCGCAGCAGTGGCATTGGCATTGGCATGACTGACGACTAACAGCGCTTAGTTCCTCACGAACAATCAGCCTCTCCCCCCAGACCCTCGCAGTTCCGATCTGATCGCAGCATATCGCAGTCTACGCGCGCCGCCTCTACCACGCAGGCCGTACAGGCTGCCGAAACCGATAACCGGCCGCCCATCGAGCGGTTCCGAACGAAGCCCAAGAAATGTCTTTCGGTGACTGATCTTGTCTCACCAGCATGGTGCGAACTGCAGTACTTTTATACGTTGAGCAAGTTTGGCCGCAAACCTCGAACACAGGCGATGAAAACTGGTAGCAAGATCCATCAAACGCTGGAAGACCAGGTACATACGACAGTGCCTGTGCAGGTGGAGAGCAAAGAAGACCGATTCGGCCTACGCATGTGGAATGCTATATCCGGCCTGCGCTGTCTTCGCGAGACTGGCCTTACGCGTGAACTGGAAGTTTGGGGCGTGCTCGAAGGCCAAGTCATCAACGGCGTCATCGACGAGATCTCCTACGAATGTCCCGACCCAGAATTCGAAGAGGAGCTCGAGCGAACCCGCGCCGAGAAAAATGGCGGCATCGTCCCCTTACCACCAGGCCAACTCAGCATCACAGACGCCTTCGCAAAAGCCAGCAAACCGCCCTCCTTCAGCCCACTAGTCTCCACACCACCTTCCGACCGCCAAATCTACATTGCAGACGTAAAAACACGATCCGCGAAATCTCTCCCAACAGGCGCGTCTCTCCGCCCTACCTGGATGCAACTAATGCTCTACCGCAAACTCCTCGAGTCCCTCTCCCTCAACACCGTCGACGCCGAAACCGTCTTCGCCCGCTACTCCCTCGACCCCCTCACCCCCTTCACCCCGCTCTTCCTTTCCGAAATCAGCAACATCGGCCCCGAAAACGGCGTCTCCTCCTACCCCAACCTACTCGCCCTCTGGTCCCTGCTCGTCACCGAAATGCAAGCCACATTCCCTCCTTCCAGCCTCTCCCCCATCCTGCGCGCGGAGTTCAGGTATGCGAAGACGGGGGATGTGTTGGGTAGCCGGCTTACGGTGTATGAAGCGAGTGTTGTTGATGGGTATGTGGAGAGCGAGATGGACTGGTGGAAGGGGAGGAGGGAGGCGAAGGGCGTGGAGATTGAAGAGGCGTTTAAGTGTCGGATTTGTGATTTTAGTGAGGAGTGTAGTTGGCGGAAGACGAAGGTTGAGGAGGCGGTGGAGAAGAGTCGGTTGAGGAGGGAGGCGGAGGCGAAGGAGAGGGGGAAGAGTGCTGTGTAGGGTGGGTGGAGGGGCGGTGTTGTTGCTGCCGGTGTGAGACATGGTCATTGTTCGTTTTCGTGCTGATGTACCACCTCAGTCTAGTAAGAAACTGAAAAGGTGCTTCGTAGACTACATTATCACTATCAAACCGAAATTCAGCAAAATCTCAACGCAACGTAGGCTTTGGAGTTGTCTTCGCTTCTATCCTCTGTAGGCGGAATGTTCATTCTTTACATCAAACAAGGCGCTACAATCATCTTATTGTATGCCTCTGTTGATCAATATGCACGAACGCGCTACTTCACACATCTTCTATCTTTTTTTACATTTTCTTCTGTCATTACACAAGCTTCAACTCGCTAGTTTTATACTAGGAGAGCATAGCTGCCCACTATTGTCAACTCGCAGAGGGTGTGGCAGAGGCAGAAGCCTCACCAGTTGAAGTTTCTATGAAAGCTGACCCATCATGCAAATCGCCAAAGGACGTTTCGTGTCGACGTGAATTTTGCTGGTCTTCTAATCGAAAGAGTATGGCACCGCAAATGTGCCAACGGCATCATCTCATGTAAGTGTCTCTCGCGTTTATTAATATGTAGCTGGACGAATACAATGGTGTATGTTGGCTGGCTTTATCACTAATAACATTATTTGAGCGCCGACATCCATGGCGGTAATGTAACTTTTGACAACGGAACGCTATCGTATGCCACAGGCACCCCGAAGGTTTATCGCTGTACAAGCGTGACTCCATCAAGAGCGTCTGAGTATCCTAGTGCCAAAGGTAGATTAGCGAGTGTACCCAAGACCACCAAGATCTACGTTAGATAGCGATTAACGAATAAGCTGAGCTGTTAGTGATCTTTCCGCCTCGCCTCAAACCGAAAACACCATCATGTTGTTCGCATCCTAATCAAGCATCCCAGAACATTATCAACCAATACACCTAGCCACCCTCGCCCACTCCTCATCCCGCCTCAGACATTCTAAATCCTGCTCTCGCAAACACATCGCAACAGCCACACTCCCATCCCTACTCTTCGGCATCAAATACATCAGTCCCTCTACAGGCACAAAGCCCGGTCTGCGGACAGCAACCGCAGGACCCAGCCCAAGTCCAAAGTCCCACTCATAAGCCGGTACTTTGGTCCACGAGCTAAGCGCAATATCCACGCTCATATCGAGGGTAGCTGTCGGACTAGTTTTCGCTGCATTGGCTGGTGATTGGGCGAGGAACGTGGCGAGAGAGCGTGTTCGCCGTGCGAGGTCTGAGGTTTTGGGGTCGATGGATTGGCGCATGGTGGCGGCGATGTGGCCGAGAGGAGTGGAGAGGAGGGTGGATAGTGTGTAGGTGGTGTATGTCATGTTTTGGAGTATGCCGGGGTAGTTGGGGTGGATGTTTAGGTAGCGTCTGGCATCCACAGCTCGTGCGAAGGTCGTTGATATGTTAGGGGGTAGGCGTGTTTGTCTTGCGCGTAGAACGGAGAGGAAGATGAAAGCGGAGAGGGCGTCGTCGGTTGATATGAAGGTGGTGGAGTCTTGGGGAAGTGTGGTTGTTGCGAGGTGCTTTAGTGACTTTAAGGACGATGCTGAGAAGTCGAAGTACATCCAGCTGCAGTTGACAGGTGCTCCAGTAACCGTTGACTCGGCGGTATCTAGCTCTTTGACAACCGTGGGAGCTGGAGGAAAAAGCTGGTTCTGCAGTTCCATTCCAGGGTCCCAGCCCTCATCCTCAATAAGCGGTACAACACCCGTTCTTACCATATTACCTACCTTGAGCTCCTCTCCAGTGAACTCCTCACCTCGACATGCCTTGGACAACCAGCCTATCACAGCCGCCTGTCCCATCATATCGCACACATTATGTTGCAAATTAACACAAAGCACCATACCACCACGGATATAACTGATCTGCACAAGCATCACCGGAGCAGGTCGATCATCCTTCCCAGACGCTTCTCTCGGATCAAACCCCAAAGCAGCGAGCGTAGGACACGGCGCCCAAACACGCTCACCCAACATCTTCATCGGGAAACCCGCATCTATGATCTGCGACGCGCTGGGTATCTCCGCATCGGAAGTATAATCTCGTACGATTAATTGCGGTACCGGTTCGTACGGCCGGATCCTGTAAAGGGGCGCGGCCTTGGATTCGGAATCGGAGTGATGAGAATTTGCGTGGACGTTGACGACCTGACCAGCAACCCACGGGAAAGTCTTTGCTAGCTCTGCCAATCCGGTGGTGATGATCGCAGTGATACCGTCCCGTGACGCTGGTACCAGCCCCTCCGACAGCGGAAAGAACAAGGCAAGTTGGGTATAAAGCTTGAACAGAGCGGGCTGGGCACCCATCAGGTCGATATCCATATCCAAATCCGGAAGCGTCATGTTCGGCAACTAGGATACGTGCGGTGATCTTTTGAACAACATGTCAGTTCCAACGATGGCGTGATGGGATTTGAATGGCAACTGTATAGTAGTGACATTCTGGGCTTACGCGTATGGTGGTGCTGGTGATGAGGTGCCGTTTTCTGGACCCCGCAGTGGTTGACTGACTGAACTGACAGGTACGAAGCGTCCCGCCTTCTGAAACTGCAAACGCGTCAAGGCCTGACGCAGAATTGACCGCAGTTCCTCCTGCTCGTCTCTTGCGTGAGGTCTGGACTCGCTGATGGTGTGCAAGATAGATGGGATTATCCTAAGCAGCGTTGGTAGCGGTTTACTTTGTACACAAGAACAAGTGCGCAAACGGCGTAAACTCATCATGACTCATTCTGATGCTGTGAGACGTTGCTCAAAGCATCGTGAGATGAATCAAGATCAGCTTTGAAGGGCCGCCGTAGCGATGGTATCTTGTGAACTCCATCCCACAAAGCACAACATCCACCTCTCGAACGTATATGCATCAAAGGGCCGCCTGGTTATCGTCGCAACAGCCAGCCAGTGCACATGGGTGAGGTCCCATCGCTAGCCTTGCCGTCTCGGGGGACTTGCAGGGCACTTTGATGACCCGCAGTATGCAATGCTGCCCAACTTGACAGGAGAATGCCAGAAACGCCCCTCTCCTTTTCCCACCAACACGTCGAGGGAAGAAGAGGTCAGAAAAAGGACTGCCAACAATAGACTCTGCCCGCATGCAGGCAAATTCACGGTGGCGAAAATTTCTCTCGTTCGTTCGCAGTCGATATGCACGGCGCCTGGGTGTACCTGGAGCTACCAGCTGCACTCGCCGCCTGTACGTGCTGGGATATCGCCAACGTTGGCCCGCTGCCGCAACGCACGCACGCACGAAACAGCAGGGGAGGCAAGGGATTGTCTCTCCCCCTCCCTCGTTACTGCACGAGCAAAAGTCTCCGTTTGCCGCTCTCGTCTCCAGCTGCATTGTGCTTTGATTCATTTGTCGATGGAGGAAGTAGAGCGATTGGCTGGGTTGCCATTAATTCAAATACAAAATCCCCGCTTGTCGCTCGCGTGGGAAGGGCTGGCTCTCGGGGTTCCACATGTCCTCAGTGCCGGAGTCGGGTCGGTTGCTTTGTGGGGAAGACGTACCGGAACATCGGAGACACACTATCCGGGACGAAAAGATGAAGATCACACATGTGAAGAATCAAGGCAGGAGGAGGAGGAGTAGTTATGTACCAAAAAACATAGACGTTTAATTCGAAAGGTATCTCGGGGGGCGTTATAGAAGAATGTGTGACCCAAACTGAACCCATGACTTTTCCGTCCTTATTCCAGGTTTTGAGATTTCCAAAATGCCATGCGCTGCTGACAATAAACACATGCTACCACAGTACCCGTCTTCCAGATTGTCGACATGTTGCCTTCTTTTCGCAACCCGCCAGCCCTAGCCCACTTAATCAATTCAGCCGTACAGTGTCATGCAAGATCTCAGTTGCTGCGCAGATCTCGGTCGTTAAGGAAATAAGAATAGGCTAATGTTCGTAGTACTCCAGATACTCCATGGGTCTCATGCAAAACCAAAGTGAGACCATCGATGCAAACGCCGCTCATATGCCGACGCCTTGTTGAGTGCTTTCTATCAGTGATGTGGCACGACAGTGGGAGGTGTCGTAGCCCGTTATGGTGCAGTAAATCCAAATATGTATGTCGGAAGGCGTATCGGTCGCTGGACCGAGTAGATGTCGAGCCGGGAGCTCATAGAATGACGCACTTCGGTTTCTCTTTGCCGCGCTTGTTGCCGCCCGTCATGCCGGCACCCCGTGTGCGACGGTCACCGGCTCCTCTTGTGCGGTCCTTCTCGTGCAGGCCGGTACGTACGCGGGCTTCTTTCCTGTCTGTGGGGTTGCGTCCGCTGCCTTGTCGTTGCCGTCGGAGCTGTCTAACGACGTCGAAGAAGGCCTTTTCTACGTTGACGCAGTTTTTGGCGGATGCCTCGACAAAGTCGCAGCCGAGTTCTTTTGCGAGAGCTTGACCCTCTTGGGTGGAGACTTCACGCTCCGTGACACGGTCGCATTTGTTTCCGACGAGCATCACAGGGGCCTGGCCGAACATGGGAGCTGATGCGCTGATGGGCGAGCCGGGGTAGGTCGGTGAGCCAGCCATGGCCGTCTCTTTGACGCGCTGTATTTGGCTGTGGAATCGCTGTATGCGGGCGAAGGAGGAGCGTGATGAGATGCTGTAGACGAGTACGAAGCCCTCGCCGTCGCGTATCCATTGGTCCCGCAGGGCGATGTATTCTTCTTGGCCAGCCGTGTCGAGGACTTCGAGCATGCAGGACTGGCCGTCAATTTGCACCTGCTTGCGGTACGAGTCTTCAATGGTGGGGTCGTACGTCTCAACGAAGTGGTTCAAGCACAACTAGCCGCGGTCAGCCAATGTCAAGGGAATGGGGGAAACGGGAGGGCAGGGCTACCTGTATGGTCAGGGCGGTCTTTCCCACACCACCGTCGCCCAGCACCACCAGCTTGTACAGCGTCATTTTCCCCGCCATGGTGTCGGTAGGAGAGCAGAGTCGGCCTCGTCAATTCAATGCAGGCAGCGAGTCAAGGGCGGATGGGGCACAGATAAATGACGGGGCGTGGTGCAAGCAGCTCGCCACGTCGTCGCAGTATCGTCTCGTGTACAGCAGCGGGATTGCAGCTGACCAGCGGGCTCAGCGGGTTCAGCCTAGGTTGGGAGCTGCGAGAGATCCAGAGGGGCGGGACGAAGGGGGCGGCGCGGCCAGAATGAGCGTCTCGATGTCGTGGTCCCAAACGGCGGTCCACACTCGCACGGCAGCACAGGGGCGCGTGTCGACGGGGAGCTGCAGGCGCTTCAGAATGGATCGGCTTGGGTGAGCACAATGGTTGCACGCAGACGTCTAGGCGGAAGCGAGGCCTGTGCAGCTGGGCCGACGCAGAAGGGGCGGCAGACGCGAGCGGGGAGCAGATGCGCGTTGGAGCAAGTCGAGTTGGGAGGTGGTCCGGTGGTGGTCGAGGGGATGGGAGAAAGTTGGGCGAGGCGTCTTGACGTGGTCAGGGTTCTCTGGGAGTGGCTCGTGTCCCCACGTGAAGATGTGGATTTGGAAGCGGGCGATGGACAAAGCGATCAGGGCTTCTAGGGTGCAAGCGTCCGAGTCCGGGGCATCACCTATCAGCAGCAGCGTCTACTATCGGGGCTCCGTTGCATGAGCGCGGGCGACGTGGGATGGGCAGGCAGCACGGAGGACGGGGGCAACGATAGCGGCGTGATGGATGAGGGAGGTCAAAAAGAAACGCGATTAGTCGACATGGGCCTCCGGGGTTTTTACGCTTCTGCGTCGAGTTGGCACCTTGGGCCTTGGGCGACGGCGCTGCAGCACTGGGGGCTGCCAAACGTCAATCCGCCTAGTCCTATCCAAGCCATCCAGACGAGAAACAGCCCAGGGCCTGCAGCCAGAAGCACTCAGGACCGCCTCGCCGACCCGGCCCCGTGGCTGGCTGCTGCGTGCCCATATAAGCCGACGACGCCGTGCCGCCCCAGGTCGTGGAAGCCTGGTCTCACTGTGTGCGCCCGTCACGTCCCAAGGTGGTGCCGTCACGACCAAACGGCCAGAAGAGCTGCCGTCGTCTCAGTGCGCAAGCGCAGGCGGCAGGCCCTAGGACATGCTAGGGCTGCAAACGGGGGCCCCCTTGGGGGTGCCATTGGGGAGAGAGGCACTACACATGCACCCTCGACTCTGTAGGAACAAGAAAGCCGCCGAGCGGCCTGCCCACCAGCACGCTGACTCCCGGCTCCAGCCACACCGACGCCTTCACCAAGGAGATTTCATCAAGGGCGGCCAACTGACTCCAACGACTCCAACATGTGAATGTGCTTCGACATTGCAGGACAGGTCGGCCACTTTTGCGCCAGGGTTTCAGTCGTCGTCCGGCGTGGGCTGCGAGGCATGGTGCTTCGGGGAACTGGACCCCAAGCCGCGACAGCGTGTAGCCGATAGTCGCTTGGCCCACTGTTGCGCTCCTGATATTCTGCCGAGCCGACGGGATCACTGCACCAACAGACGTCGTCGCCGGCACGCCTCTGGCAATACATGCGGGCGGCGGCCTGCTATCTCATGTCAGACGCCTGGCTGCGACGACTTCTGCCGGTAAGAAAGCTTGTACAAAGCTGCAGACGACGCGGCGCGAGGCATAGCCTGACCAGACGCCAGACTAGCAGTGCCAGCGCGACTGTGACGAGGCTCGCTGACTCCCCGGGCAGATGCGCCAGATGAGCGACCCAGGGAATGCCTTGATATGTGCGCTGATGAAGTGTCAAGCTCCCAGGTGGGCGGGAACATGGTAGCTCAGCACGAGCGTCATGTAGGTCAGCCCGGAGCCCAGTCCAGCGCCTGGGCCATGGCTCGCAGCAACGTGCAAGCACGTGTTTAGGTGGGGCCACCAACATGCGCTGTGACGGAGCCGGATCCCTTTTTGCCCTGCTTGAGTTGGACCTCGAGTACCTGTTGGTGATGGTGACGCGGCGTTGAGCGCTGGGGCGTTGACAATGATTTCTAACGATTCTAACGATTCCTGGGAACGGCCCGCTGCGACTCCGTTGATTCATCCGGCGGCGAGGCTGCGAATACGAGCTGCCGTTGGATCGTACAACGAACGTCATTACAAACGCTCTATATAACGAACTGATAAGATAATGCAGCAAGGTTGGCATATACGCGACAAGCGAAGTGAGCGGCAATTGAGGAAGGCACTGAACATGGAAGGAAGGCACGGGGGGAATCTTGACCACCAAACATAGGCAGGCACGATGGGAGAATCTTGACCAAACAAAAGGCACGATGGAAGACCACATATACCCTTGAAGCCCTACATATTATCACCACCCATCCCATTACATCTACAACTTCGCCCGCGCTTCCGTAGCCTTGTGCAAATCCTTGCCCTTGACCTGAAAATACTCCCGCACCTTCTCCCGCGCAACATTGACAGCCTCGCGGTCCTCAATCGTGCTCGGAACGCTAACCTCCTTGTCGAACTCCCCATGCGTCGCATTCTCCAGTAGCTCGCGCAGCACCCTCCTCAACGTCTTGCCGCTCCTCGTCTTCGGGATCATGCCCTTGCCCTGGATGATGCCTCCGAGGCTGGCAATCGCACCAATCTGTTCACGTACTAGGCGTTGGACTTCGGCGAGGAGCTTGTCGTCTGCCACGGCGGAGTCGGAGTGGTTGTTTGTGGATAGGGTGATGAAGGCGAATGGGAGGTGGCCTTTTAATGCGTCGGGGATGCCGACTACGGCTGCTTCGGCGATGGAGGGATGGGTCGTGATGGCTTGCTCGATGGCGCCTGGATATTGTCAGCTCGTCCTCGCTATCAATTGCATGAGCAGAGCACTTACCGGTACTGAAGCGATGTGCCGCAACGTTGATCACATCATCCGCCCGTGCCATGATTGAAATGTAGCCCTCCTCGTCAATCATGCCAGCATCGCCAGTGTCAATCCACTTCCCATCAAATCTCTTCATGTAGCCTTTGTAGAAGCGTTCTTCGTCCTCCCACAGCGTAGTGAAGGCAGTTGGAGCAAGCGGTATCGCCATGACAATGTTGCCCATCTCGCCTCTCTTCACCTCTTTACCCGAGTCATCCACAACGCGAACATCGAACCCAGGCATCGCCTTTCCAGCCGAGCCAGGCTTGACAGGAAGCGGCGCGGGTCGTTCTTGAGAAGAGAAGTCCAGTCCGGCAGAGGCGCTGAGTGCGATTCCAGAGATGGGTGAGCCTGATTCGGAAGACCACCAGTTGTCTACAACCATTGCACCAGGAGCGCAGTGCTTCGCGAGTAGCTTTTGGTACATTTGTATGATGCTCGGTTCGCTCCTCTCTCCTGCCAGGAACAGGGCCCTGAGCGTCTTCAGTGCACCCTTTCGTCCTCTCGCCTCGAAGAATTCGTTATCACCGTCATCCCTGCGAATTGCTCGTAAAGCTGTGGGAGCGGTGAACATGGTCGTCACCTTGTACTCTTCAATGACGCGCCAGAAAGTGCTCGCATCGGGGGTTCCAACGGGTTTGCCCTCGAACAGAACCGTAGTGGCGCCAGCCAGCAGCGGAGCGTAGACGATGTAAGAGTGTCCAACGACCCAGCCGATGTCACTCGCTGTGAACATGACATCGCCGGGGCCATGGACTCCGAACAGGTACTTGATGCTGAAATTCAATCCAACGGCATGACCACCTGCTGAGCGGACAACGCCCTTTGGAAGCCCGGTTGTACCCGACGTGTAGATGATGTACAGTCCATCACCGCTCTTAACAGGCACAGCATCGGCCTTCAACCCCCTGTTCTTCGCGCTTTTGACTAGTCGTTGCCAGTTCCTTTGACCCTCCTCTTTGACTATGGGATCCCATCGAAGCTGATCTCTCTGCCAGACAATGGTCTTGGATGGCTTGAAGCTACTCTTGTGGACTGCTCCTTCGATCATCGACTTGTACTCAGTGGGTTTCTTCGCTCCTTCAATGCCGCAAGAGGCCGTCATGATTGCGACAGGGCGACTTGCCTCAATCCGCTGTGCCAGCGCTGCGGGCGAGAAACCACCAAACACAACCGCGTGTATGGCTCCCAGCCGGGCAATAGCCAACATAGCAAAGAGCGCAGCTGGTATCATCGGCATGTAAATCAACACGACATCGCCTTTCTTGACTCCCTCTTCTCTCAAAACACCCGCCAATGTCTCAACTTCTTGTAGCAACTGCTGGTATGTGTACTGCTCTTTCTGCCCGGTTACCGGACTATCCCAGCAAATAGCTACTTTATCGCCATTGCCGTTTTCCACATGGCGGTCCACACAATTGTAAGTCGTCGAGATCTCGCCATCGGCAAACCACTCCCAATGCTCATGTGAGACATTGCTCTTCTTCAGGTGTTTGACGCTCCTCTGGAACGCCTTGGATGGCTTCCTGTGCCAGTGCAGGTTGTTCGCCTGACGCTGCCAGAACTTCTCGGGATTGTCGATGGAGGTCGCATAGACCTTGTCTTGGATATGTTCTTGAGGCATATTGTCCGTCCGTTTCTCAGATGTGAATTGGTTTCGTGAAGCAGAGAATGCAAGTAGTCTGCTAGGTCTAACAATGAAGCTAACGCGGGCAATGGGGCTATGAGCCGAGCAAGAAGTAAGCGATATGCCGGACCTGAGGATAGTGAATGCGGTCAAGCACGAGTAGCTCTTCCGGGAAAGCATATGGGCGTCATGAGCACTGATGTTTTAGAACGTTGCCGATCGGTCCAAGGGGACCGACGACGCTGACCTCGGAAGGAGCTGGCTCGGCCTACCCCAAGTTCCCCCGCAAAGCGCTAGTGTGGGGTGCTAACACGGTTGGGGATGACGTCTGCTTGGCAGGCTTCTAGAGGAGCTTTGTGCATGTTGTCAGCTCGATCTAGAACTACTTTGTGTTGAATTGTGTTCTTTTGTGTAAAGCGCTTAAGATGCAGGAGATGGTAGTCTTCCAGGCGGACGGTGTTGGGACGGAAGTGGCTGGTGAGCTAGCACTGGAGAGATCAGAGCTATGACGTCTACTCCACGCGACTGCCACATGGGACGTTCGCGCCTCATGGCTATCAGAGTGTCGTGATATGAGTATTGTATTACGAATACGACATTCTGTATGATTTTTGTTGCGCCCGTAAGATCTAACCCACGCACATTTCCGGAAAACCATCTATTTCCGGGGAATCCTACCGGTGACGTACATACATAAACAACCACCACCACCACCACCACCAACTACACCATCAGCCAAAATAAACTTTCCACCTCGCCAACACACCACACCACCATCATCAACCACCACAGAAGCCAATCAAACAACACACCATGTCTCTCACCCCACCGCCCAAAGCCCTCCTCTTTGACATCTTCGGCACCTGCGTAAACTGGCGCTCCACCGTCACAACCGCGCTATCACAATGCGCCCACACATCACTAAACTCCGCCACCGCATCCCTAGCCTCACGCCTGCGCCTCCGCGCCTCAGAAATGAGCGACGAACACTGGGGCCAATTTGCACAACAATGGCGAAACAGCTACAAGGCTTTTACAAAACAACTCGCAGCCGACCCATCGATACCATGGGTATCTGTCGACGACCACCATTTGGCTTCACTCCACAAACTAATCTCAGAATGGGAATTAGACGGCCTATGGACCGACGAAGAAGTCCGCGCATTGAGTCTAATATGGCATCAACTAGACCCCTGGGCCGACTCCGTCGCAGGAATGTCCTTGTTAAACAAAGCCGGTTTCCACACATGCATGCTGTCGAACGGTAACTTGAGTCTGCTCTCCGATCTACGTGCGTACAGTCAGATACCGTTCACGCACATTTTCTCCGCCGAGATGTTCGGTACGTATAAACCCAGTCCGAAAGTTTACCTGGGCGCGGCGGAGAAATTGGGGCTTAAGCCGGAGGAGTGTGCGATGGTGGCTGCGCATTTGAATGATCTCAAGGCGGCGAAGGGGTGTGGGTTGAGGACTGTGTATGTGGAGAGGGCACAGGAGGAGGATTGGAGTGAGGGGAAGGTTAAGGAGGAGAGGGAGGCTGGGTGGGTTGATGTGTGGATTGATCTGAAAGAGGGGAGTGAAGGGTTCGTTACCGTAGCGGAAAAGTTGGGTGTGAATGTGGATATGGAAGGGAGAATGGAGACTAAGAGGGTGGTGTCGCTTCCTACGAAAATGGATTGAAGGGACGGTGGATGGTCTATCGGGGTGTTCGGTGTGGAACTTTGGAGACCATTACAGTAATGACATGTTACCATCGCTTCTTCACCCGGGCTTTGGACGGCTATGGCTTCTCCAAGTCATTACTCTGATTGTTCGCTTCACCCTTTCCGTACTGCGGATACCCCGGCCTACCTTGTGGTCTATTTCCTGTTACTTGAACGCCCAATTGAGTCTTCAAATCCGCCTTATGAACAGCACCTTCGACGCACGCGAAGACTCGAAGAAACCCGTGTATTTACAACCACCATTCACAAAAACCTGACTATCCTACACTACCCCAAACCTCCCAACCGCTATCTAATTCCTCTTGCCCCCATCTTTCTCTCCACCTTCCTCTTCCTCCTCATCCTTTTCCACAAACATAGTCTCCTGCGCACTCCAAAGCTCACTATACAAACCATCGCGATCAATAAGATACTGATGCGTTCCACTCTCCGCCACATTACCCTCTCTCAACACGATGATAACATCAGAGTCGTAAATCGTGCGGAGACGATGGGCGACGAAAACGGACGTGCGGCGCTTCTCTTTGACGAGCGAGTTGATGTGTGAGAGGAGGGCTTGCTCGGTGTGCGTGTCGAGGGCGGATGTCTGTGTGTGGGATGTTATGTTAGTCATTGGTGAAAGAGGGAAGTGGTAGGGAGGGATAAGGACGTACAGCTTCATCGAAGAACAAGAACGGCGGGTCCTTGAGGACGAGTCTCGCAATGGCTAGTCTTTGCTTCTCACCACCTGAAATCATCATTCCGCGCTCACCAACCATGGTTTCGTATCCATCGGGGAAACGGCTGATACTCTCGTCGATACGCGCTTTCTTTGCCGCCTCGATGACTTGTTCCTGTGTCGCTTCTAGGTTGCCGTAGTGGATGTTGTGTTGGATAGTGTTGTTGAAGAGCGGGGTGTCTTGTGGCACGACACCAATAGCCCTCCTCAAGCTATCTAACGTAACATCGCGAATATCTTGGCCATCAATCAGAATACGCCCCTCCTGTGCGTCGTAGTAACGGAAAAGAAGTCTTAGGATGGTCGACTTTCCGCAACCGCTAGGCCCAACAATGGCGACTTTCTTGCCCGCAGGAATGGTGAGATTGAGGTTCTTGATGATGGGCCGGTCGGGTCGGTAGCCAAAGGATACGTTTTCGAATTTGATTTCTCCCGTTTTGAGGGCGAGGGGCTTGGCGTCGGGCTTGTCTTTGACGGCTACGTTGACCTTTTGGAGGTTGAACAGTGTTTCCATGTCTAGGAGACTTTGGCGGAGTTCGCGGTACATGGAGCCGAGGAAGTTGAGGGGCACGGAGAGCTGGAAGACGAGCTGGTTGACCATGACGAGGTCGCCGACGGTGAGTTGACCGGTGGCCACGCCGTTGGCTGCGAGGTACATCATGGCGGTAAGGGCGGAGGAGAAGATGATGTTTTGACCGGAGTTGAGGAAGGCGAGGGAGGTGGCGACCTTGATGGAAGCTTTCTCGTAGTCTTTCAGAGCCTTGTCGTAGCGGCCGACTTCGTACTTTTCGTTGTTGAAGTACTTCACTGCCTCGTAGTTGATCATGGAGTCGACGGCGACCGTCGCGGCCTTGTTGTCTGCGGCGTTGGCCTGCTTCCTGAACTTGGTGCGCCAGGAGGTGGTCATGATGGTGAAGACAGAGTACGCGGTCATGGTTGTGCCTGTGATGAGAGCGAATTGCCAGCCATATTGGTACGTCAGAATGCCACATACTAGAGAGATCTCTAATGCTGTAGGGAAGATATGGAAGACCATGGCAGTCAATAAGAAGCTGATACCCTTGGTACCGCGATCAATGGCGCGCGTCAAGCCTCCTGTTTGCCTCGATAGATGGAAACTCAGGTCCAGCCTTAGCAAATGATCATAGACACTGCAAGCGACCTTACGAATAGCCTTCTGGGCGACACTGGCAAAGACGGCATTGCGCAGTTCCTGGGAAACAGTGGCGCCAATACGAGTCATTCCGTCTGAAGGGAGTCTCAGCCAGGGTGGACATGGGATGCATTGTTGGGTCTAGCTTACATGCGATGATCATAGAGCCTGCCACTGTGGTCGCTGTGCCGCCAACAGCCGCAAAGTCTATGTTCATGGCGTCTACAATGCTCTTGAAGTAGAAGGGGACTTGGACGTTCAGCAGCTTTGCGCCTACCAGCAAGCCCAGACTGATGCCGACCCTGAAGCGCGTGCCCATGTTGTCCTTTGGCCACAAGTATGCCGACATCTCTTTCATAATGGCCCAGTCAGCCTTGCGCTGCTCCTTGTTGGTCAGGACTTGCTCTTGCAGCAATGGGTCCGTCTTTGCGACTTTGGCCGCGGCGGGGTCGGCGGCAGGTTTGGTGGCTTCGATGGCAGGCTTAGAGCCGGGCTTGGGCCGCTGACCGTGCGCATCCTTTCTGTGTAGCGGAGAGCAGGTGAATACGCGAATGCCGTGGTGGAGAGGATGCGGGCGCAAACTGGACGATCGAAGACCCGGCCGACTGGCGGCGCGGGCGAGTGGTTGGATTAACATGGCGATGTCACATGTTAGGTCTCTGCACCGCTATCACAGGAGAGAGAAGCTGTGGAGAGCTTCAATGGCGGAGAGGACAAGATGGCAAGAGTGTTTGCTCGTGAGTACCTAGACAGCCGCATGCATCCCACGTTGTCTAGCGCGTTTTGGGCGGCAGGGCTGAAGCGAGGCGTTCTTGCATCATCGCTGCTCCGAGCTTCACCAGAACATCTTCGCCGCCCGTCACGCGCCAATTGCCCGGCACAGCCATGTTACGACCGGCTGCCTCGCCCTGGAGAAACTTCTCGCCCACATCCGCCGCTGCCATACGGCGGACGCCCTTTGCGGCGCGATGCATCAACATATCAGCCACCAGCTCGTCAAATGAGCCCGCGCTGCAACAGGCAGTCAGTGTTGAGGGCACCGCGACGCCCATGCACACACCAGGTACGAAGAGTCGATACAATTACATTAATTATACAAAGGCTAAAAGAACCGTCAGACGCCCGATTCGAAGTCATTGGCACCCCATTCTCCCTCCTCTCCGTCTCCCTCTCCGCCTCACAGACGCTCTACACCCGCCGCGGCACACTCGTCGGCCTCAGCGGAAAGTCGGAAAACACGCTATCAACCCTCTCCTTCCTCGAGCCCCTCCAGAGGGCCCCGGTCGGCATCCCCTTCCTCTACCAGAAAGTGTCTTCAACGAGCCCCGTCACAGCTCTCGTCTCCACAAAGGCACCCATATCGAGCATCGTCTCGGTCAACATGGACGGAAGGGACGATTGGATTGTTAGCCAACGAAATGCGTTGCTTGCCTGGACTGGTCACACTCTCAAGTTGAAGCCGCAGTACAACGTCAAGCTGGGTCTTGCACACTGGGGAAACACATACATTACAGGCAGGGGATTACTTGCGCTTGCAGGAAGCGGGCAGATATACCAGGTCCAGGTCAAGGCTGGCGAAAGCTATGTTGCGCATCCCAGGTATGTTGAGACGATACGCCCACATGTATGCTTGTGCTAATGATACAACAGCAACGTCGTAGCGTACACAGCCTCCAATACACCACCAATCCCTTTCCGGTTCAAGTCGTCGAACCTCCGCTTCCAAGTGCCAGACCTTGGCTTCGGCTCAATGGTCCAGAATACCAAGTTCTTCCGCACCATGAGCAAGACAGGCACATGGCGGGCTCTGGCAACCACATATTACACTCTCAAGACATGGCTGCGGAGAACAGTCTGGGGCGACAGGGTAAGCTACAGGCCTAACGAAAGACTTGTCACAAATGCTAATTCACATAGTTATTCCTCCGTTTCGAAGGCCCAACCACCATGCTCATGCAGTCCCGCGCTTCCCGAATCAGCGATGTCCTTACCCTGAGAAACGTCGATGAAATCGCGGATAGCCCACCAGGCGCTGTCGAAGATGCTGCCACACGAAAGATCAAGGAGGAGATCAAGTCAATAGGAGAAGGCACAAAAGCACCGATACCCAACACAGATGCGTCGGGCACAATACGGTATGCCACCGTGAAAGATGGCAAGGCTGAGTTTGAGAAGCCCAAAGTAGAGGAGGTGAAGGTATAGAGCATCTGTACTGTATGTATATTTATGACGTGGACCCATACAGAAGACACCTACGCGTGATCTGGAGCGTTCATACCTAAAGTTGGTAAAAGATGCATATATCCAACTTTTTTGCTTGATAAGTTAGGTGCAATGTTTATAAGTGTGGGAGGAACTATTACTTGTGGTAAAGGGCCACTGCTTAGGTGCTGATGAAGCATACTGCATAGTGCGAATATCATGACGCCCTACCTACATGGAAAGTAATATGTTGGAATTAGCTTTGGAGATAATTGCGCATCATCGTGAAGTGCCTTCTATCTCAGTTCTTAGTTAGAACACAGCCTTCACTTGTATCAGTCATGGAACTGTCCAGAGAGATGGCGCGCAAATGTGACATCTGAAGCTAACTGGGCTAGCGCGGACAAGCTTCGGCTCCAGCTGGGGCAGCGACGTATCCATTGCTCATGGACGCGAGCCACATTCAACTTCATCTCTTACCACCTTGGGTTTGCCAAAAATGCACGACTACACGCGACATCGTAACGGGCGACGCGTGATGCCCCCGCTGACCATCGAAGTGGCGGGGTGTTTGCCTCCGCGGATGTCCTGTATGACTGGACAGGATTGGCTGCACGCGACGCCACGCGAAGCATGCCTGTCTGCTAACATCTATCACAATTGAGACAGACGCAGAGACGAGTCGAGCGAGCCCACATAAGCATACGAAGAACTGCCTTGTTGACGCCCATTAGCACCCAAAATTGACATCTCTGGTCGCCTCCCGCCGATCGACGAAATGCAGACTCAGCAAGACCGAACCTCGCAGGATCATTCGCTCAACGATGACGTGCTTGCCAGAGATAAAGACGTGCTGAGCACAACAGATATCGAAATCAAGGCAGCCATTTCCGCGCCGGAAACAGCTATTCCGTATACGGTACTCACAAAAGCTGAGCGGCGCATGATCACATGGTTGATCGGGTGCAGCATGTTCTTTTCTCCTTTTACAGCCAACATATATTTCCCATGCCTTGAGGAACTTCAACACGCTGTGGGCGTCAGTACCAGACTGATCAATCTTACCATCACGACATACCTCATCATTCAAGCAATTGCGCCAGCCTTCTGTGGAGACTTGGCTGACCACCTCGGACGACGACCTGTGTACCTCATCACTTTCGCTATATACGTCTGCGCCAATCTTGGCCTCGCGCTTCACCAGAACTATGCTACTCTCATGGTCCTCCGTGGTCTCCAGAGCTTCGGCTGCTCCGCAACAATAGCCATCGGGTACGGAGTCATTGCCGACGTGGCGACGCCAGCCACCCGAGGAAGCATGTTAGGACCTGCCATGGTCGCGACAAACCTCGGTCCAAGCATCGGTCCTCTAGTTGGCGGTGTAATGGCATCAAGGACTGGCTATCGATGGGTGTTCTGGTTGTTAGTCATTGTTGGAGCCACCTTTTTGGTGATTCTAGGCATTGTCTTCCCTGAGACTGGGCGCAACGTTGTGGGAAACGGCAGCATTGCGGCACCCAAATGGAACAGACCTTTTTTGCAGTCAAGCCGACAGCGACAGCTGGTAGCACCCGACGAACAACGAGATTGGAAGAAGAGAAGTCTCATACCCAACCCCTTCAAAGCTCTGCTGGTCTGTTTTCACCGAGACACCGCTGCGGTTCTTTCGATCAGTGCTGTCTACTACGCCGCTTACTACTGCATCCAAGCCTCTATCCCGGCCATCTTCACGGAGGTTCACGGTCTCGATGAGCTTCAAGTCGGGCTATGCTACTTTTCGATCGGGACGGGGGTCATCCTCGGCGGTTACGTCAACGGCAAGCTGATGGACTACAACTACCGTCTGACGGCGAAAGCGAACAACATTATCGTTGACAAGGTCGTTGGCGACGATCTAGCCAAATTCCCTATCGAGAAAGCGCGCTCGAGGTTATGGTGGTTCCTAATCCCTACATCTACTGCAGTCATTGCGGGGTATGGATGGGTTTTGCGCAAAGAAATTGTAAGCCGTGTACACTGCCTACATTTCCGAGAAACTGACGAGCTTACAGCATATTAGCGTTCCATTGATATTCCTATTTCTGCATGGATTTCTTGCTACATGCATCTGTCAGGTCAGTGTTGCCACACTGTATGACTGGTAGCAGTATTGACAAGTTTCCAGACGCACAACACTCTGATCGTGGACATATCCCCGCAGAACACAAGCACTGCCGCTGCAGCAGGTAACATTACTCGGTGCGCCTTATCAGCAGCAGCAGTCGCCGCCATGCAGCCTCTGCTAGATGTCATGGGCAAGGGCTGGTTCTTCACGGCATTGGCTGCAGCCTCCGGCATATTGAGCGTCATCGCAACAATGTTTATTCGATTAAGAGGTATGACATGGCGCAATCAACGGCAAGCACGTGAGCGAGGCACATCATGCACGCAAGAGACAGCGCACCAAACTATGGAAAAGTGAGATGACGACCCCTTCTACGCATCATCGGCGAACTTTCCGGAATCGCGCTTACGCTCTGCCTCGTTCGCGGTAACATAACCTTCATACCCGTCCGGGTATTTCGCGACCAGGCGCCGCATCGACTCAATCGCTCTTTGTTCGGTCAGTCAACGCTCAGTATCTCAGCGTGGCTGGCATGACTTACAATTGTCGAGTAATTTTCGTCTGCTTCCAGCAACATGAAACCTGGAGATCATTTCGACTGACTCGTTAGCATCTGCAACTGCAAGATTACGGACCATCCTTACAGCGCGTAGAGGGCGTTTCTATCGTCGTGGTCTTCCGCTGGCTTTGAGACAGGTACAAGCTTATGGTATGCGCGCAAATGAGTCCGATTGAACTGGTAGCGTGTCGCACGCCACGGGTTTGCTTCGTATTCATTGTGCCCATAGAAGCTTCCAGCGTCGTACAGAATCGGCTCATCCGTTTCGTTGTCTATGCCGACATTACCGTGCCACAAGTCAGCGTGCAGCAATACTGGTTCGATCTTGTTGCCTCCGGTCTCAAGCGGCCGAAGGAGTCGAGGGACTACTTTCTTCAGAGTATCTGAGGATAGCGCATCCATTTCTGGGTCTGCGCCTTGGATCTCTCGCTCCAAATTGATTATGGAAGTCAGACTGCGAGTGAAGTATTCTTCCCAGGTGTCACACCATTCGTTGTGGTTGGGAGTGTTCCCTTGGTACGCTGTATCGCAGGTCAGCGCTTTTACTCTGGATGCGATCCGCCTCGGAAATACGCACTGGTAACGTGGAATCCGAACTTTCCAGTTGGCGACTTTTTCTGGTGTATCTTCGCTAATACAGCGACAAATTCATCGACGTCAGGCAGCTCGTCGTTCATGTCGCAGAATGCTTGAATATAGAAGAATCTCTCTGGATCTGAAGCGAACGACCCGTAGCCCAACGGACGCGGCACGTTTTGAGGAGCCATTTCGTACAAAGCGACCGTGGACTCATACTCAGCTCTGACCATGCCTTTTGCATTCGCGTCTCGATATTCCTTCAGGAAGAAGGAAGTTGGATTCCCATCGACTATCGTATCGATTTTAGTCGACACGGACCAATGTGTAGCCCCATGTGTGCAGACCCATTCTATCTCTGCGCCTTCTGGAAGGACTGAAAATTTGGTCAGTACAGTATCACGATGAGGGGTTACGCTGGTTGGCGGATGGAATTTACCCGCAGCGACGTTAGCATCAAGGTCTTTCCCTTCATACTTGTCCTCATCCTTCAGGACAGCCTGTGTGAAATCGTCGTCTTCCCACGCCATATTGTTGACAGAACTTTGGAGCTACGATAACGTATGCTAGGACAGGCGGCCCAGTTCATATACTGGCCGTCGCGCTGCAACTGCGGGGTTCGCTGTGCCTCCAAGGCTGAACATTTCATCAGGATTTGGAATGCATGACTGCATCTGACGGGTGAGTGCATTTATCGGAGGCCAATCATTTGGCGCCATCGCGGGCGGTACACCCGATGGAGTGCGTCTTGCCACTGCCGCAATCACTGGAGTACGCGACGTGCCGCTCGCACGTGTCCACGAATGTTCAGCCTTCGCGCTTCATCTTCCCACAGTAAGCGCTCACTTCACAACTCCTGCGCGTGGAATATGGAAGATGGCGGACTATGTATGATGTCTAAGTACCTTCGCTGTTGTTAGTAAAGACTGACTCGCTTATAGGCTACCCCGCAAGACGGCCCCCAAACGAATGACAGGCGTCGCTCGAGTACAGCCTTGTCACGACTCACCAACAGGAACAGCTATTCTGTTCGAAGATCCTTTAGTCTGTTGACGCGCACGAAATCTCCCGATGGTACGACGTTACCAGCCAACTCATTCGGTCCTTACGGACTTACTCTTCTCCACGAGCCGCAGGAGCCGCTCATCGATCTGATATTCGTTCACGGCCTGCGTGGTGGGTCTGTGAAGACTTGGACCAAGAACGAAGACGACGATAACTTCTGGCCACAAGCATGGCTACCACAAGAACCAGATCTGCAACATGTGCGCATTCATACCTTCGGCTACAACAGCGACTGGGGCGAGCGCAAAGAGAGCATGTTGAGCGTCCACGATTTCGGGAAAGACCTTTTAGGGGAGATGTCTACCAATCCATATCTGAGGACACAGGAGGACCTACCTATAATACTCATCGGACATAGTATGGGTGGCTTAGGTAAACAGAGCCTTCGATGAGCCGATCTGGCCACTTGTGAGCACCCAGCTGATTTAATCCACTTATAGTGATCAAGAAGACCTACATACTTGCCCGAAGGGATGCCGCGACTCAGGCGCTTGCTGCTCGCGTCCAATGCCTCATCTTCCTCGCGACACCACATCGAGGTGCTGGACTAGCATCGGTGCTTAGTAACATGCTCCGAGCCGCTGGTATGTTCAACACAAAGCCGTTCCTTGCCGACCTTGAGAAAAACTCTCTCGGGCTTGACATCATCAACGATGATTTCAGGCATTACGCGGACGAAGTCCGTCTCCTCTCTTTCTACGAGACCCTCAAACTCAACCTTGGGGTTCAGTCCTCATTGATCGTCGAGAAAGACTCTGCTTCTATCGGTCTCAAGCATGAACGCATACAGCCACTCAACGCCGACCACCGTACGGTGTGCAAATTCGACAACGTGTACGACTCGAACTACATTAAAGTGAAGAACGCTATAGCAAGTATCGTTGAAGACATACTTGGCGATACATTAGCGAGGAATGATGACGAAGAGCGTGCTCAAATGTCGGCTCTACAGACTTACCTCGATGTAATGGACAGGCCTGTTGACGAGCTCAACAATGAGCAGGACCACCAAATATCGGGGTCGTGCTCTTGGATCCAGAAGCGCGAGGGCTTTCAGTCATGGTTTGGAACGCCTTCGCCATCGGTGCCTCTGTATTGGATTTCCGCCCAACCAGCAACCGGCAAGACTGTTCTAGCCGGTCATGTCATCACCGAACTCCAAGCCGAAGGTCGGGACTGCAGCTACTACTTCTTCAAACATGGACAGAAAGGACGAAACACTTTGAGTGCGATGCTACGATCTATGGCCCTTCAGATGGCTCTCATCCATCCCATAGTTCGCAAGGAGCTGTACAATCTGCAAGAGCACAGTCTCGCCTTCGATAAAGATGACGAGAGGGTTGTATGGAGAAAACTGTTCGTCGGGTCTGTGTTCAAACTCAATCTTGGAAGACCGCAATATTGGGTCATCGATGCTTTGGACGAATGCATCGAACCAATGAAACTATTCCCTTTGCTCTCGCGGATAGAATGCAGATACGATCTCCAGATACTGATCACCAGTAGAGGCCCTTGGCCTGATTTCGAACGACAATTCGCCCGCTTAGGTCGTCGAGGGGTGACTGATACCATCCCAGTAGAAGATACAACGCGCGATATCAGACTGTTCTTCGAACAAAACATGGACCAGCTTCCCGTCGAAGAAGAAGCGGATAAGAGGCATCTGGTAGAGAAGCTAGTGACTAAATCAGCAGGCTGCTTCCTGTGGGCACGTCTAGTATTGCAAGAGCTTCAGTCAGTCTACAGCGAAGAACAAGTTGAAGAGGTTATCGAAGAGCTACCCATAGAGATGAGCCTTCTGTACGAACGTATTCTGAGCGAAATGTCGCGAAGCGTGCGTGAAACAAAACTCGCCAAAACCCTGCTTGCTTGGGCCACTTGTTCGGTACGACCTCTACATACTTCCGAACTCACCAATGCCATCAAGATAGACGAGGGTATGAGCGTGAAAAGTCTAGAAAGGTCCGTTCAAGGTCTTTGCGGCCAGCTACTCCACGTCGACAAAACTGGCTACGTGCAAGTTATGCATATGACTACACGTACATTCCTCACTGATGGTTCCTTGGACTCCGAGTTTGCCATTTCAAAGGAAGACGGAAACAGACGTATCGCGCTTACTTGCCTCAACTATCTATGTGGGGAAGAGATGCGGTCGCCCCGTAACAGGACAGTCGTTAATATCTCACGGGGCGCCAAGAGTCCGATAGCCGAATACGCATGTGTCTCATTCTCCGAACATCTGGCTATGGCTTCATCTTCCGATACTGTTCTGTTTCTGGCACTTGAGAAGTTCCTGAGATCCAACGTCTTGACGTGGATCGAGTTTATCGCGAAGACGAAGAAGAACCTTTACTATTTGACAAGGACAGCCAAGAATTTGCAACGATATTTGGGCCGTCGGGCAAAGCATACACCGCCGCTTGGTGAAGCATATCGCTACGTCAACCAATGGGCCACAGACTTGGTGCGACTCGCTGCTAAGTTTGGACGTAATCTTCTGGACTACCCTGACTCCATATACTATCTGGTAACACCGTTATGCCCGCGGGACTCTGCAATCCACCAGCAATTTGTCGATTCTCATAGTGGCCTGACCATTGCTGGGGTAGGAAAGAGTGCCTGGGAGGACGCTATATCCTACATCGATTTCCGGCAGGACCGCGCAATGTCTGTGGCTGCTGGTGACCATGCGTTTGCTATTGGCACTAAGTCTGGACACATCTTTCTCTACTGGCAGGGTACTTGCCAAGAGAGGATGTCATTCAACCACGGTGAACCAGCGAAAGTTCTGCGCTTCGACAACAGTCATCGACTCGCTTCCGCAGGTACCCACATGGTTCGTCTTTGGGATCTCAACAGCGAGACGCTAGTATGGAACTACAACATGAAAGATAGCCCTGTTCTGTTTCAGTTCGCGCCCGATGATAGCTTTCTGATGATAGCGACAAGAAGCAGCCATGTCATTACACTAGTCTGCGAAGATGGAAGCACACTACGTGACCAGTCCTTCCCTAGTCGGCAAGCACCACTAGATGTTGCTGTTTCTCCAGACTGCAAGATGGTAGCATTTGCCTATCGTGGTAAAGCCGTACTTCTTTGGAGCTTGGATAATGATAGGTTGATGGGAGCTTTCGGTGGAGAAGCTGGCTCTTCCTCGATCAGTAAAATCTCCCCACATCGAGTTTGCTTCAACTCCAACCCCGCTGTTGAATTGGTAGTAGTCACTTTCCAGAATGGGGACATGGTGCTATACGAGACCTGGAATCAACGAGCCATCAAGACTGTCCAGCAAGACTGTCACTACATGGCTTGTTCGCCCGACGGGCGCACGCTTGCAACAGGGTCGAGCTGGGGTTTGCTCGGACTGTGGGACTTCGAAACTCTCACCTTACTATGCCATATCAATACTCGCGAGACCCTAGGAAAAGCCTTGTCGTTCACCGCGTGTGGAACCCGCATCATTGAGCTGCGCGATCGCAAAACGAAAGTATGGGAGCCTGCAGTCCTCATTCGCAAGGCTGGCGAAGAAGACTCTAGCATCAGCGAATCCGTGACTTTGCCAGCGACGGTAGTAAGTGAAGGGGAAGAGGATATTGTGCCAATCACAGCTACCTGTGTTCACCCAACTCGCGATGTCATTCTTGTAGGCAAAGACGATGGCTCAGTGAGCTTCTACTCCGGACGTTCAGGAGAGCTTCAAAGTGTGGCGTACTCTCACCAACAGGATATCTTTGTGAAAGTAATTGCAGTCAGTGCTGGCGACGTTGTCGTCACTCAGGATGCGAGCAACACGGTTATGGCTTATGCATTGGAGGGCGGGCAGGACGACCAACTGACAGTGACCGAGAAGCTGATGAAAACTCGCTTCGAAGAGCCAGCCCAACAGCTCCTACTGAACGAAGCGGGTGACAGGCTTCTCATCTCGACTGCCACCGCTGACCAATTATGGGTACGAAGCGTCAACAACGGCTTTCAGCAAACGAAGGTTCTAGAATCTTCGCCTAGATCTATATGGAAGTGGATGTCGTCCATCCGAATACCAGATACACTCATTCTGGTCGTGGATGAGACTATCCGCCGATTTAGCTGGGAGACGCTAGACGAACTAGCTACCACGGGTCCTCCGCGCAAAATCGACATCGGCACAACAGTCCTCACTGGAACCGATCTCACCCTCAAGGCCCTTGCTACCGACATTTCAGGTTCCAATCTCGTCGCCGAGTTCGCGCATAAACTCGGTTCAAAAGCAACGGAACGTCTCGCAGTCTGGCGGGCTGACGCCATCGAATCTCAAAGCGAAGGCGCAAGTACAGAACCCACTCTCCTTCTTTCTTCCGCTATTATCAAGCATTTTCTGGGTACATTCGAGCATAGTATTGTGTTTCTTGACCATCATCTGTGGGTCTGCTCGATTGATCTGGCGAGCTTATCATTGACTCGTGGAGACGATGTCAAAGAATTGGTGAAGAAGCATTTCTTCATTCCTTTGGAGTTTTTGGGCGGCAATGAGGGGAATATGGGTTCGTTATCGAGGAAGGGTGATGTTGTCTTTCCGAAGGAGGGAGAGGTTGCTGTGGCTAGGGATGGTTTGAAGTGGTCGCTTTGAGTGGTTGGCCGCTAGCGCGGATACTGAAATTCTGTGGCCACTTCATTCGAGAGTACCCTTATGTATATAGAGGAATTCATGTATAGCGGAACTTATGAGTGGCTCGTTGCTCTGCGTCATCGCGGTACGAGCTGATGAGGTGGGTCGAGGGTTACTCGCACAATGTTTGGATTGCGGCATGTCACTTCTATATGCGACAGTCTTAACTAAGGATGCTTTGTTTTGGTAGATAAGTTCCGAAACTTGCTGAGATTATCACGGGCTCCTACATGAGTGAAAGGGTGTGGAAACGCGGTAGCGACTCAACTTTACGGCCAACCACAACCATGGCATAGTAATGATCAATGATTTCAAGAAGTAGTGCCTGGATGTGCTTCGGGCTAAGCTTAAGGCATCAAAAGGGTATATAAGGAAATTTTCGTCTCTTGTTCCTGCACACCTCTTAACATCCACGATCGACGCACAAACAAACCACACATAAACCACACCCATACTACACATAAACCACTACCCAATCTACACAAAAGAGGAAATCACAACGAGCAAAAATGACCACCCCAACTACCTTCACCTGCTTCCCCGATCTCGCACCAGAGCTCCAAGTCATGATCATCAACTACACTCTCGAGGAAGACATGGCGCAGCGTGAAGATGAACTGGTACTGCATCTACATGCACCTTCCCCCTGCAAAATAAACGATTTCATCGATGCCTCAGTGTTCACCGCTCCTCGCACAACAATACGTCTACCCAGACTCCCTGCCGTCTACCACACTAGCTGTCTGTTTCGCCGCGAAGCACTCCGGTCACAGCCTCTGCACCAAGTTTTCACAGATGACGCGCTAAAGAGATTACATTCGCGCGGCTCGATGAATGTGAACAACCCAGTGTGTAACGCCAACGTACACAACCCCCACGAATGCCGCTTGGGCAATGCAGTCGAACTGCAATCCCGCGGATCGATGGCTATCTATAACCCACCGTACGACACGGTACTACTCCAAGCCCACAACTGCTGTTTGAGCGCCATGGATGCAGACTTGGAGCGGCTATTCCATGTAATCAAAGCGACACTCTGGGCCCCCAGGCATGGTTTCATTTTTGCGATAGATGTACGAACAAGATTTTTATCCGGGCTGTGGAGAGATCTTTAAAACGCTCCTCCGCAATACAGCGGAGTATGCAGCAGCGCCTGTTACATGGGGGACCATTTGGCTTTTACTCGGAGATGTCATATCTATACGGCGGGTAGAAGAGAGAAAGAAAAGGAGGACTGACAACTTCAATCGGCTTAGATATAAGGATGTATAGAGAGTTCCTACTGCTGCATTACGGCGAATAAAAGGTGTTTGGAAAATACACCTACATTGAGATTACTATTTAGAGTTACCTGACTACGTTTTGTTGCTCTGCTCTGCATCAACATTTCACCGTAATAAGGGTGTATAGAATGGCAGGTAACGTCTTCTTCAATAGTCGTCTTGTCAAACCTTGGTCTCTTTAAATAGACCTCTTGTATAGTCCAGCCGCTGTTACTGTAGCTAGATTTTTGTACCTTGTCTTCTCGCACATCTCAACGTTAACCGTGGTGACTGCGTTTTCGACTTATGACAACTTCGTGAATTGCGCGGTGCATATTGCTCGTGGTATTTATAGATCTTGTATTCGTTGTAACCATATGTCATAGTGATGCAAGCAATAGCCTAGCACCAACACATACAACACCAACGCAATCCACATCTACAAGTAATCCATCTACTATGTCCCAACTGAACTCAACACCTCACTTCGCCTTCCCACCAGCCCTCTCCCTAATCCTCTCGTCCTTCTCAAACCGCTCTTCAAACATCCTATAGAACAAGCCGAGCCACTCCTTCTCGCGATCGCTCAGCTGACGCGCAGGGTTCTTCCAGCTATTCGCCAGTATCTCCTTGATACGGCGTCTCAGCACCTTCAGCGCGACAGCAGCCCGCCATTCACGAACTGCGAAGCGGATGACATTGCCGGGTAGACTGATCACGCCTGCATGGAGCTTGAAGTCCATATCGGCAGCGACCATGAGTACCATGGGAAGTGGGTAGGCGATTGAGGTCGAGTGCGCGTTGTAGAACTTGTTGCTGGATTGCATGATGTTGTAGTAGGATAGGAAGTCGGCTGTTCGCGAGCCTTTGTTGACGGAGGTTGGTCCTAGGCTGACGGTTTGGTTGTTGGAGATGTTTCGCCAGCCCTTGCCTTCGCGGGTAAGGATCTTGGGGTAGAATGCTGTGGCGATGACTGAGTTGACTAGAACATCGTTGTCGGTGTGGATGTCGTATTGTGCTGGCACCTCGACGAAGACACGGTGGCGTGTCGTATTGCGGTAGCGGCCTATCGCGCGACGCTCGTCGGGCGTGAGTTGTATGAACCCGGCCTCAACCAATGAGGAGAAGAGCTGCGCTTTGAGATCCTCGATGTTACCCAAGTTTTGCGGACTGAGGAAGTTCTTGTGGCAGAACTGCATCTCAGACCGTCCCGGAGTAGTGCATACTGCTTTCCAAGCCCTGTAGGCGTTGTAAGTTGTGAGAAGGTCGGAGTCGCCCTTCTTGAACGCAAGACGAGCGATGTCAGCTCGTTGCTTTTGTTGAAATGGTGACAAGAACGGGGATTTTGAAGAGACAATGGCAGCAATGGTGATAGCAACATCAACACACGCAAACGTACTTGCAAGCAGAACAAGCTTGCCCAAGTGTGCGTCCAACGGAAGCTTCGCGATCTGACGACCAAGAGGTGTGAGTTCTTCACTTGGCGTCAACGCGTCGACTTCTACAAGTGCATCGATAGCGCGACGGATGTTCCTGGAGGAGGGTGGGTCGAGTGCCTGAGCAAGGGTGGCTTCGATATCACCAAGCTTGCAAATCTTTACGCGCATGACCAAATCTTGGAGCGAAAGTCTGAGCATCTCAGGGGTTTGCTGCTCTGCCATAAGGCTGTCGTGACGATATTTTGTGAAGAGGTGGAAGCACAGGCCCTCTTGTACACGGCCGGCACGACCGCGGCGTTGCTTCGCGTTCGCTCTCGAGATGAAGGACTGAGTCAGACGTGATAGCTGTCTGCGCTCGTCGAATCTCATCTCCTTGTGCTTACCGGTGTCGACAACACAGGTAATATCCGGGATCGTGACTCCGGTTTCGGCGATGTTGGTAGCGAGCACGATCTTGCGTACGCCCGGGGGTGGAACAAGGAACGCAGCTTGCTGATCCTCACTTGAAATGGTGGAGTGTAGCGGGTACACATACCAGTCAGCCTTGAAAGAAGGATGGCTAGCCAGTATATCGTTGAGCTGACGAATCTCAGCAAGTCCTGGGAGGAAGACTAAGATAGCGCTGCTAAAGCGACTCAGCTGCGGATCAAACGCGACAGTCTCGATCAGTCGTGTGATCAGGTCGTAGTCAATGGCATACTCGTCGTAGTTAGAGAGCACATCGCGTGTTAGTTGGCTGTAACCTGGAAGCTTGTTGGGAATACCGGATTTATCGCTCGTAATTCCGTCATCCTCGTCGTTGTCGCTCGTAGCGGCAGCTTTGGTCGCGTCGGATGCTCCAGCGTAATGAGTCAACTCGACCGCATTCTCCAGGTATCGAGTCTGAACCGGGAAGGTGCGACCTGGTACTGTCAGGATCGGTGCGTCGTTCAGGTACCTTGAGAAGCGTGCGGCATCTACCGTGGCACTCATTAGTATGACCTTTAGTTCAGGTCGGCGTTCCATGAGTGACCGAAGTATGACCAGAAGGAAATCCGTGTCGATGGATCTTTCGTGAACCTCATCAATGACCAGATGTGTGACTTCTTGTAAGCCCCCAGATGACTCTAGCATTCGTAATACCACACCCACCGTCGCGTACACCAAGCGAGTCTGGGAGGAAGTCTTTGACTCGAGCCGAATTGCGTATCCGACAAGTGAACGTATGGATCCTAGATCTTTGGGCCCTTCGCCTAGTTCTTCGCTTACACGTTGGGCAAGCGAAATCGCCGAGATACGTCGGGGCTCGGTGCAGTAGACTTTGCATGCCTTGCCTTGAGATAGCTCGTGCTCGAGGACGAAGGCGGGAATTTGCGTACTCTTTCCGCAGCCAGTCTCACCGCAGATTATGGTAACCTGGTTCTTGTCCACAGTGGATAGAATCTCATCTCTGAAGTTGAAGACTGGGAGGTTCATTCGACCAACGAGCATGCGCTGGTATGATGGAGTTGATGCTTTGGCGAACCATTGCTCTCTTAGACCGTCGTAGTGCCGTACCGGTGTGCTATAGCCAGAATTAGATGCGCTAGAGCTTGTCGCTGCCTGGTTGCGCGCCTTGAAGCGATTCGTAAGCACGACACCGTCCGACTCTTCGTTCTCGATCTGATCTTCAATGATTGAGCGATAGTGCTTGACAGCGTCACGATCTGCTGCGTCTAGGCGTGTCTTTCGCCGCTCCAAGAACTCCCTGTAAACCTCTCTCCAGTTGGATGGAAGGCGCAGGTATACCTTTTCCTCTTTTATTAGAGAAGCAGAGATTGAGAAGAGGGCCGCGACCGAGATGAAGTTTTCACTCTGCTCAACGGATACAGCAGCAATTTCGTTCGCTGCCAGCGTGACTTGCTTCCTGTACGGAGTACAAATAACACCGGAAATTTCCGTGTCGTACTCGAAGTCTTGTTCCTTAGACCAGAAGATCGTCAGCGAGTGCCGGCAAGTATACGTAGTAGGCGAGATCATTTTGTAAGTCAAGCGTGCGCCAGCATCCCTGGACCTGTTAGTGAATGTCGGAAGAAGTAGTCGAATGACCTACCTTGATCGAACTGCCTCTTCGAGTACTTTGCGGGGGGACATTCCGCTCATCTTGCCAAAGTCGCGCAAGGTTATATTGTCAGCACTTGAACCATTGGATGTACTCTCTGGGGCAGGCGTTGCGTCAGGCACTGCGGAAAACATGCCTCCGAGCAGATCAGCATCCTCTTCGCCTTCGTGCTCGCTTGGA